ATATAAGAATTAAAAAAAAATCTTTGTATGAATTTTGATTAGTCTCCTTTATTCCACCTATTTTTAATATTAAATAATTCAAATTTAAAATTTTTTTATTTTTAATAAAAAAATTATTATTAAATTATTTAAATTCTTAATAAAAATTTCATCCAATTCAATATCAAATTTGAAAATAATTTTACTTTAATCCATTTAAGGAGCCAAAAATATCAGAGCGATGACCCAAAGATGGACTCCATCTCTCCCCAGGTCCTGACCGTTGATCATATCTGACGGTCAACACGATGTCACGATCCACCTCTATTTTTAAAATATTCCAAAGGAAAAAAAAAAATAATAATAACGTACGGTCAGCGGCTCTCCGGTTACAAGAAAAACACAAGAAAAACGAATTAATGTCACTGTCACGTAGCCAACGCCGGGAAAGCAGCCGCCAGACTCCAGAGCAAAGGCCGTTGGCTGAAGACCGGAATCTATACCGTTAAATATGGACGTTCTGTTATCGTCGTTGACGCCTAACTTCGCTTCCACGACGTCGAGTGTGAAGCTAGTATGCGAGTTTCCGGCGAGGAAGCTTAGAGTGAGTCTGAACGGAGAGCAGCGGATTTCCATTCGGTGTGCAAAGGCCTCGGCGGAGAGGAGGAGCGAAAAGATAGAAGATGTAGAGAGGACGAGTGGCTTCAGTGGAAGTGCTATGGAGGTCACTACGCTGGATTTCCCCGTTTTGGAGAAGATTGGCGCTGTTGTTAGACTCAGTTATGGAATTGGTAAGTTGTTGTTCTTTTTGTAGAAATAGTTAACTTTGAGGAGTGAAGCGTTAATGAACGTTACTGTGTTTTGTGGAAGCAGGGATATATGGAGCAATGGGTTTGGCAGGGAGGTTCATTTGCTCGGTCACCGGAATTGATTGCACGGGAGGTTTTGATCCATCTTTAGATGCCATTGTTGAAGGACTTTGCTTTGCAGTGCCTCCAATCATGGCCCTTCTCTTCATACTAGATGTATGCTAATTAATTGCTTACTATATTTATTTTCTTAATTTGAGTGTACTTCATTTGCTAACTAAATTTATGCTTTGTGGAAAGAATCTATAAATTCATGAAACTTATTGAATTTAACTTCCAAGTGATTTTATAGAGAGAATGTATCATGAATGTTGTTGTGGTAATTTCTTCAAACCTTGAGAAATCTTGAGGAAAATGAAAATGAAATGAGTAGTTGGGGTGGGGGCTTCTGGTGTTACCGGGAAAAGGAGTTGTTTTGAATCTTTTGATTGGTTTTCAATTTATAGGTAGTTGTTACTATATTAGAGTTTTTTTTCTTTTTTTTCTTTTTTTTCTACTTGGGACTTGTGTTGTGAACAAGTTGTTGTGGCTACAGGATGAAGTGGTGAAGTTATCTCCTCATGCTCGTGCCATTAGAGATGTGGAGGATGAGGAATTGAGGAGCTTCTTTTATGGGATGTCTCCTTGGCAGGTATATAATCTTGTGTGTATTGGCTTCTTAGATATCTGCCTTTTATGTATTAGTTAGAAGGGGACTTAGTTTACTCTGCAATGACTTTTGTAGTTCATATTAATTGTTGCTGCCAGCTCTGTTGGAGAGGAGCTTTTCTACAGGGCTGCTGTTCAGGTTTGTTGTCATAATTTTCCCCTGAATCATATAATGTCATAACTAAATAAATATATCATTGATTGCATGCAAGATATTGCTTAAATAGGGTTTTCGTTTTTTACAATTAAACCTTCACAAATATGGTGCAAAAATCAGATTTTACGAAAAGAATAGTGCAGAATCTAGGGGAGTCTTGAAGAATACACAGCATATGGTTTAGTTATTACTCTCCATGAAAGAGTATCCTCGTGGTTGCATTTAATTACCATACTCCTCTTCTTTTTTTTTTATCATCTACATTTAATTACCATACTAATAATGAAGGTACTCTCTAATAGAGTTTAGATTCTCAGTTCATTGATTAATCACCTAATTTCCCAAACCTAAATAGTTTCCCATTATTTTTGTCTTATCTCGAGTAAACAAGGCTTTTAATGCCATGTGAAAGGAAAAGCTTAATATAAGAAGGTTGTTAAATATGGGAATTCAATTCTATTGGAACGATTTAAAATGGGAAAGTTAATGAAAATAATGAATCAGAGGCAGTATACAATTTTCTTGTGAGGCCTGCTTCAATAGTGTTGATGAAAGTCCTGCATTGAACTTGTGTGCTTCCTTTTCTTTGTCTTGAGGTCATGGAGAGTGTAGTAATCCTTTTTGTATTATATCAGGGAGCATTGGCTGATATATTCCTAAGGGGTACCAATTTGCTGACAGATTCTCAAGGAATGGCATCCCTGGTATGTGTTCTGCTCTATTTGTTGTTCCTTCCTCTAGAAGTAATAAAGAGGGACCTAGGCCTCAATTTTGTGGTCCCCATGGGTTATACCAGAAATAACTTTTACCACTTGCATATATACTTATCCTCCATTCAAGCAAGTTAGAGAGGTAGACTGCATACCAGGAGGGTAAGTTTTACAAAATGTGAGGTGGTAAGTTTAATTTCTGGACAGCCTAATGGTCTTTCTTTAATCCTAATTTTTTCTCTTCCAAGTTCCAACGAAATGATGCTACTTTTTTTCAAACTGTAGTCTGGTATGCTGCCTCCCTTTGTGCCATTTGCTCAGGCATTTGCAGCTGTAGTAACTGCTGCTCTTACAGGTTCTTTCTATTATGTGGCTGCCTCTCCCAGAGGTAGATTTGCTTGCCATACTTTTTTTTATCAATTCTTTATTGCCTATGAGGCACAAGGGATATTTACTCTGCTGCATCTTCATTTTAACGTTTCAGATCCTACTTATGTCATTGCACCAGTTTCACAATCACGCTCTGGTCGTGAAGATCTGAGAAAGCTATTTGCAGGTTCCAGCTTTGCTGTATTTAAAATTTTCCTTCGCTTGTTTTAGTTTATATACTTTGCAAGCTATGTTGGCATTTAGTTTACTGTTATTTTGGTTTTTGTGGTAATGAGTCCAGTTACATGGGTAAACATTTTGCAGCCTGGTATGAGAGGAGACAAATGAAAAAGATCTACTCCCCTCTTTTAGAAGGAATTTTGTCCCTCTACCTTGGTTTTGAATGGATCCAGGTAACTTTTATTAAAGATGTTTAAATTGATAAATTATTATTATTTTTTTCAAAGATGAAACTGATGCATTTAGCCTCTATGCCATTCATCCTGTTGTAAACTGTTGCAGACGGATAACATTCTTGCACCTATTATCACACATGGTATGTACTCTGCCGTTATATTGGGACATGGACTTTGGAAGATACATGATCATCGCAGAAGGCTACGCCAGAGAATCCGACAGCTTAACTCCGAAGGAATGAACTCAAACAAACTGTAAAGAGATCTTGGTGAACAATAACAAAGCATGGAGGAAACTTGTATATGACATGCAGAGCCGATTGATTATATGTTAGGAATGCTGTAGAATGTAGCTTCGTGTATGTAAAAAATAACACGTGACATTGATGAAACAGAGCGGCGAAACCCATCTCAACAAAAAGTAAAAACCATACTTTTGTATACCACGTAAGAGGCAGCTCAAATCCACAACATTCACTCCACACAGCTTAAGTTCATTTTATCATAAGAACTGTTCATATCAAGTCTTGTGTTGAGCCAACATGCATAATTCTTACATGGTATCGGAGTTCAAATTTTATTCTAAAAAACTCATTGTTAGCTCACTTAACAGGACCCGAAGTTGAAAGTACCGGACCTGCATTTAAGGATATATGTTAACCCCCGACATTTATAACTAGTCTGCATGTGAGGGGGCGTATTAAGTGGTAAGTGAGAAAATTTCATATTTAGTATAAAAATAAGAAACTTGTAAGTTAAATACAAGGAGAGCCACTCTACTTATTGTCAATTGGTTTTAAGTTGGATGCAAGCCTTATATTGAATCCATGTGCACAATTCTCACAGTTCACAAGCCTTGTCTAGTTTGTTTCAATCCTCCAATTGGGAGATGATGCTGATAAAGACATCATATCCTTGGCACATATCAGAAAGAAGGCAGTATTCATTCTTGGCATGGTATGTGGCCATTATACCTGCAAGGATTTTGCAAAAGTAGGACAGTCATATTTATAATCGACTTCATGTTCTAAGAATAAAGTACCCCCGAATAAAGTTGAACGAACATAGTGAGTTCTGCATCAGCAGAATCGGACAAAAGATGAAAGCAAATAGAGAAAACCGTAAATTGCAAGCAACAGTAGTAAAAACACAAAATTCTTTATAATATCCCTTCAATACCCTACTTAAGATGCCATAACTCCAATATGTTTCATGCTTCTCAAAGTTTGACAACTGTTTTTCTTACATGATAAGTGTGTTGGTCTGAGGTGATGCATGTCTAGAAATATTATGATAAACAGAGTTATGTAGCATAAACCTCCAAATTACCATGGTATACTGCATATGAAACATATCAAAACTCTTATTACTTAATCAAAAGGCATGCAAAGGTCCCTCCAATTTATAAATGTATTAGTGGAAAAGTAGGAATAGCATCGTACCATAACCAGATGTCTGAACATCAAAACCTTCATCCTGCCATACAAGAATTGAAGATTAAACTAATTGAAAAATGATTTGAATAAGGCAACGTACTAATACAAGACAAACAGCTCACCTGCAGCTCTCGAATGAGGGGCAAACTCCCTGTTATTGAGTAGGGTTTCACATGCCCAACTACCTCTTCAGTTGCCTTACACAATACATGAAAACCACGGGAATCAAGATTGCAAGCAACACCAGACATTGGCTCGTTAAAAGTTAACGTAAGGCTGTGGAAAAATTATCAAGGTGATAAATTCAGAAAACAGTAGGAAAACAGATGAGTATGATGCAGAAAGGTGATCCTTCTAGATGAACCTCTAACTAGCTCAAGAATAGGATTGGGAAGCTTTAAAATGAAAGGGGAGATACAACACCTTCCCCTAAGATTTTCATCAGGCAGGACAAATTTGGAGACTGGACCCCTTGAATCTAACTTTTCTATGTTCTTATTTATGTCATCCACATACTGTTGTAGCTTCTGCATAGCATCTTTTACACTGCAACAGAGACAACGAAAGAATTGCTGAGGTATTCATTTGGACAAAATTCATGCCATCACTGATAAAATTTTATAGACAACAGAAGAATATCACTTACTTGTAGAAAGGAGTTAACCTGCAATCCAGATCCACAAAAGAAAAATGTCAGCTGTAGTAAACACAACATAAAATGTCAATAACTCAACAGACACTCTGACAAGACCATAAACCTGACATCTCCTGATATTGTACACTCTGCTGGAATTTGATTGATTCCACCTCCTGGATCTGTGATTAAGAACTTCATAAGTGCATGAACTTTTAATTTCAATAACAACATATCATTCTCATGCTTGACACTTACAACTCCATTGCGTTGGTTTCATAGTGGATGGTGTGGCAAAACCATAGACCTGCTCCTGGGGGTGAGGTGGAAAGTCCTTATAAAACCGTTGTTGGATTTCTTTAAGTGCTTCCATGGCCAGCTCTAGTGGATTTATGGCCTGCAAAATTATTGGAAAACATAGAAATTAATAAAAACAATGAAAAGAAAAAAATATTTCAGATCTTTGTTTGGTGTGTTTGGGCGGCTAAGTGAAAGCAGGATTTGAATTTAAATCCTATACCTATTCTTACAAAGGAGTGGAAACAACTGATTAATTATGTCGTGCTGTTCTATACTTCATAATTTCAGTTCTTTTTTAAAAAATGCTTTCTCATTGAAAAATGTAGACAAACTGTAAATGATCTAGACAATAAATACTGTAATTGAATATGGAATACCTTGTGTGCTAAACCACTGTGAAAAAGCTTCCCTGTCACATGAAGTTTCCAGGGTATCATACCACCAGTACCAATACAAGGTTGTTTATCTGCTGTGTCAATCCAGAAACTGTGAACATAAAAGCACATCAATTAAATGAATTCCAATATCTTACCAGCAAAGGAAAAAATAAAGTCAAACATGAACATCCATAAGTTTCAATAAAGAGATTATCCTTTGCACGTCATACTCTCAATATTTATTCTACAAGTAGTGCAAAGTGCTTACAGAGGCCCATTTTTCAGCTTATCAAGCAGCTTATCTTTGACCAGTGCATCAACACCAACTCCTGTTATGGAACTGTTCTCTTCATTGGCTATAAAGACTGCAACAACAGTAGATTTCAGTTTCGGTTTTGTCTCCCCAAGCTTCTTCATTAGTTCAGTTACAAGGGCAACGTGCCCCAAACAATCAGTAGTTCCACGACCACGGAGTTTATCTCCATCAATGCCCAATGAGAAAGGATCAAATTCCTGCAGATAAATAGTTAGATGATGCATAAACATTACCGCCACAGTACAAAACTTGGTTAAAAAATGTGGATTGAGACCAGAACCTAGGATGAGGGAAATGGTGGTTCAGCAATTCAGATCAATCCCCATAAAGGTAGAGGCTTTTTGCAAACCATGTTGACATATTCATATAAAGCAATGCTAATTTAGTGATTATACATCAAACTAAAATCTACTAATTGCCAAATTGATCAACCTTACTCAAATGAAATCCATCAAAAAATTGTAAATGATAAAGTCCTAAACTGCCAGAATTGATGTTAATCGAAGCAAACCCAAGAACAGTATCTCGAAACGAAAATCAAGTTCCTAAGCAGAAACCAAACCATTGAAAGGCATGCAACACCAGAAGCCAAGACAGAGAGATGATAAAAAAAAACCATACCCAATCATTGGGATTAGCGGTGACAACATCCATATGCATTCCCACAAAAGACAAGATCTTGCCAGGCTCAGTCCCAGGATACTCCACTATGAGATTGCCTCTGCCGGGGAAGTAAGCGACATGGTTGACAATCAGAGGCCCTCCCCCATTGGTGGTGCTGTAAGGGAGGAGAACATCCAACACGTGCTTGACCACCTTGTCCTCCACTGGGATCAGCTCCGGTGGATTGTTTTGAACGAATACGGACTCTCCAATGAGCTTGGTGAGGAGGGACACGAACGAGTCCTTATCGAGAGTGCCTAGCTTTTGTTTCACATCGGAAGAAGCCATTGGAAACCGGCGAGCAGAAGACGGTGGCAAGGGGAAGTGGAGAAGTGGTGGCAATCACTCAGCTGGAAGTGTTTATATAAGTAGCACTCCAGGAGGAAGAGAAGAAACACAGGAAAATAAAATTCCAGAAAAAATAAAATGAAAATAAGAAAGTGGTGCTGTAGGGTAATTTGTGTGTGTGTGTGTGTGTTTTTTCTTTTTATAAAACATTTATATATTATTAAATGAGTAAATATATTTAATATCATAAGTATTATATGAGTTAAAAATAATAATCATTTAAATAATATGTCAGATTCTACTAAAAAATAATAAGAATAATTTTTTTATATCAATTTTTTATATAATTTTTA